TACCACCATTACTTATATATATATACCACCATTACATTTACATTGCATTTACATGCATCACCTTTATATGTAATATAATCATGTTACATTTACCACAAATACAATTGCATATACACCAGGACATTTAAATATTCTACGTAATTTGGTAAATCTTTGTGTGTGGCAGGTGTGTCTGCACCGTGACGTCTTCGCATCTTCAAATAACCTCCATCAATTCACCTATTATCATTGCACAATAAAATGGCTGTTTTATAACAACCGTTTGACTGTCTATTTAGATAAATGCGAATATGATGATTGTGTAACAAGTAAACACGTGTAATTATGAAAACCACACGGGAAAACCAGTCACGTGACTAAAATATGTGACTATATTTTGAAGTTCCCCATGTCGTATTGCGACCCACATGCTTCAGTTGTCCAGTTGTCATGGGAACTAACTAACAGCATCTATGTTGTTATCGAATTATAAAAAAAACGCAATTGTAATTTATTTACAAAACAAAATGTTGCAATTACAAGTAAATAATTGTTGTTAACTTCTTGTAATGGAATGCAAATTTGAAAGATAAATCGACATATTACTTGCATATAACAGCATTTTGTTATATGTTTCGCGATCACAATGCGACATCTTCAACGGATGGCGAGAACACGTCAATCATACCCTTGTGATTAGCCTGATTAACCGTGCTCCTACTTGGCACGCTAACCAGTTAGGTCGAGACTATCCACGATCACCAAAGTACGCTACTTTCATTACTTGGGCAAATGTTAAGTATTATATTGAGTCATGAACGATGACTGTATAAAGTATGAAAAAAATAGTCCAGAAGAAGCTCCTTTAAACACTCGATATGTTGGTCTGTGGTGAAATTCGTGACTAAACTGCACGACCGACAATGTAGCAATGACTATTCAGGATGTGCACGGTTGGAATGTAAGGCACGATTATTAAGGCAAAATATTTTGAATATGTACATACTCTTTTGTGTATCAAATCTATATCTAATTTGGTTAGTTTCAGATTTAATCGGACCCGGAATCAAATAGTATTAGTTTATGTATTCATTAGGTGTTTTAATCAATGGGTTTATAGCGCCACTGTTGTCGTGCAGCACTTCGGAAATTATGTCTTCAAACAGTGTATGTTGCACGCGCTCTACACGTCACAGAGAACCCGCATCTAGCACTACGCATAGCGATGTCTGTGCTGTTTTAATAAGTGAAAGCTAATCAGTTCATAATTTTTTAAATTGCCGCAACACCGGGGAATTTGGGATAAAAATAACATACTTTAAGGTAAAATATGCTAAAACTAATTTGGAAATATACATGTCGAATCGAATCTCGGGTCACATTCTGACTCGGAATGGACAAGTTTGCAAAGTTTGAAGAGTGGGTCGTGCATCAAACCCATAAAATAAAATTATATTTTTTATTTGAGAAGCAGATCACTCAACAGTGCGACTTTCCGTTTTCAAGATTGTGAAATTCTTCGTTTTTATGCAGTATTTTTATCAAGTAAAATTATGTTTATTGAAGTTACTTTTCATAAATGAGTTGTTGAACATAACAAAATAGTTTAAAATTGTATTCAGCTCATTTCAGTCATCCAGCTTCTTTCAGAAAATTATCTTATTTTCTGAAATATTGTGTAATCGATAATTATAAAAATTACCCTATCTAAATAAGTTTTTTCCGCTGTTTCTCCCAGAAAAACGGAAGAAATTCACAATGTCGAAATCGGAAAGTTATTATCGTAGTGTTACTCGTTTTCCAACCCCTCCGTTGCCACCACCACGAACTTATTTTACTCGAAGGAGAAGCATTTATTTTGAATAAAGTTACATAATATTGCGCTATGATGTCATAAAAACACGCCATGTCAGCCAATTATTTGTTTTGCAGATTCGCTGATAGTGTTCGTCAAAACATAACGGGTTACAAATTGGCAAACCATCGCGGGGCACTCGCCTGAACTATGGGCACCCATCCTTGAACGCAGTCTTTCAATTTCCTCCCTAAGCGCTTTTTGTTTAACTAAACAACACCCCTTTTTGCGATGTATACAACGCAGAGGTAATGAGATACTTCGTTTACTGTACTTTGATTTATACCTTCAATTAGTTTCAGGGACGCATTTCATCATATACCTCTGGCTTTTCCGGATTTT